TTTTTTTTTCTGATTCTCTCCCCCATCCCACTGAGGGAGGGGGGGAGAGAGCGAGCGGCTGCGTGGTGCTTAGTTGCCAGCCAGGTTAAACCACGACAGTCTGCTTTCTAATTTTAGGGGGTATTGTTTAATTCTTATCAGAGTAGATCCTGGTTTCAAGTCAATTTTCACAGGCTCAGCTCTTTTGGATTTACCTGGAACTTCTCCAGCCCAACAATTGGAATTTCTGCATTATCCACTTCTGTCAGTATGAGTTTCTGTTGGAGGTTGGTGTGCTGCAACAATAAAGCTGCTACCTTGATATATTTAGTTTCTGGAATTAAAACTCACTGCCCTTAAATTTGATTTCTGCTTCCAATTTTTCAAGGAGATCCCTTCCCAACAATGGCTTGAAAGAGTTAGGCAAATACGCTCCTTGTGGGCGGCATTGATAAGGAGTTGCTCCTTAAGAGCAGTTTGCAAATTCTTCACTTGATCTTTTTCCTCCTCCAGCTGTTTTTTGTTTTTTCAATTCACCAACTTATCTTTGCAAGGTACTATATTCGTTCCTGGGAGGTTTCACGTAAACAAGGCAAATCTTAGTTAAGGAGGTTTCACATTAATTTTCACAATGAAATGCACAGTTCTCCAGATTTCCCACACTCATTTTACAATCATATCGTCTCAGTTACTCATTCACCAGTCACACCAGAGTTAACTCAGCTCATTCACATGTAGTTATCAATTTTCCACGCAAATCTTTTCTTGCAAATCTCTATAGTTTTCTCCCAGTCTCCCTACCACAAGCCCCAAACTTCTGGGATTAGATGCTTCTTCCCACACACAAACTTCACTGTTTAAACTTTCCTAAGGTTTAAGCCCAAACTACCGAAGGAGTGACTCTCTTCGTTCTGCCACTTTGGTGATTAGCCAGTTCCCTGTCATTTAGGAGAATGGCCAAGCACCTCAGCAGCCCAATTTGCACATCAAAATATTTACAACCGTTTATAAACTTCCCAGGCGCCTTGTCCATCTCTGGCTGTGCTCCTCGCGGAGTTACGGAACCGAAGAAGAAATCCAAGCTGCTCCTGCGAGAGAAAATGGGAGACGCCAGTCACATTATTAAACAACATCGATCCCACAAAGGCAGAGGCCAAAAGTACAAAACTTATGGGGGTTACATAAGTGTACCAATACCAAAAGCACATACTAAATAACAAAGTGCACCACTCAATTCACAGCGATGCTGTGTCTCAAACACACACACACACACACACGAAGATAAAAGACTTTTAACATAAAATTCCCGGGCATTCAAATGGTACAATTATCACTCCAGTTAACATCCGTCCAGCAGCTGCAAATATGAAACCCAAGCGCAATTGCGAGGAGGCCCGCCTACCCTTCTCCTGCTTCTTCTACGGTCATTAGCAGGTCCTTCCTGGCTCCTGACACTGGGATGCAGCGGTGACCTCAGATTTGCTCGATCTACCCCCAAGATCGCTAGCGGCTGCTCTATCGGTCAGCAAATCTCCTTGGCCGCTCTATTGGCCCGGGTACCCTCCTTCCACACGGGGACTACGCTGCACGCCAGATGTGTCTGTGTGATTTACCAGCGTACGACTCACAGGCCTTTCCCATACAACATACCGTTTTCCTCTGCAGCTTCAGGAGGTTCTTGTCTGCTCCTGCAGTGAGCGGCTGGCAGTGGAGGCTCCTCTGACGAAAGTGGTCGGGGCACGCCCAGGGACGTCTGCTCCACAGTTGATCCCAACGTCAAGCAGAGAGTCTCCTGGCTGGCTCCCCCAACTGATGCATAACCTGTCCCCGCTTTGTATTAAAATTAGCTTCATAAGGTCATTTCCATAAGTCCCTCCCGACTGCGCTTGCTCAGTGCCTCCTTGTGGTGGTCATTGGGGGTAATGGGGATGAAGGCTGATGGCTCCTCTTCGTCACCGCTAGTAACCCTTTGTTACCCCTTGACTCAGTTGCTTCTTTGCTCTTGCCCAAACTGCAGGGTGTTCTTATCAAGAACTGTCCTTCGTAAGGAGACGCAAATCATAGAATCATAGAATGTTTTGGGTTGGAAGGGACCCCTAGAGATCATCTAGTCCAACCCTCAAATCTTCCTGCGTCAGTTAGTTCGCACAATAGTTAGCAAAACATTTGAGCACTATCTATCAATTTGATTCTCTGGGCTACGCAGCAATCTAGACAATTATTACGCAGCATCTTATCTACTAAGATTCCCTTAACCCCTTCTCTCACACCTATCACTCCTATCCTGAAAAATCTCTTAGCATTGAGGCCCTACAGCTCCCTAGGTAGTCATCAAGATACTTGGTAAATTCGTGCTAATATCTAAACAAAATAATTAAATAGTTTTGTTGCAAAATAAGCATGTTATTTCTCATTCTACCGTTAGTAGACAGGAAGTATACTTAATCACCTGCTCTTTTCCTTTATGCTTTATTTAGTATTTCAAACCCAATATCACTGTGCTGCCTCAGTTTCTTCTTTCACTTGATATTTTTATTTCACATCCCTAATAATTTGTATTGCTGACCTCTGAACTCTCTCCTTTTCATCTTTTTTATTTTTTTTTTATAAATCCACTGCCCAGGCCTAGAGGCATTATGCCAGATGTCTCCCGTGTCAAACAAAGCATCATAATTACCTTCTATGTCTTACATGCGTTATTCCGCTTAATGAAGCAGAGGTTGTAG